TGTGTGTGTGTGTGTGTGTGTGTGTGTGTGTGTGTGTGTGTGTGTGTGTGTGTGTGTGTGTGTGTGTGATGAATGGAATTCCGCATCGGTGTGCATTTGTAAAACAAGGCTGTGTGTAGAAAAAAAAAATCTGAAACTGCATTTAGGAGTGGCTCAATACTGGCTGGCCATATTCGGGCCGGAGTTGGAAATTGATTTCTGGCCCAAATAGTCAAGCCAGTGCCTCCTTTGCCACGCCTGGGCCGTGTTCGGCCCACATGCGTTATGCCATTGCCGACACCAGGCCAGCTGTGCCGGCTTCATGCCGAAGCCGGGCCAGATGCCTTTGCTGACTGGGTAGTTTTGAAATCAGATAGGATAATTGTTTGTTCAACCTCAGTATTGTTCAAGTTCCTGTAAAAGGGGCTTGGTAACAAACATCGCTTGCAACAACTTTATTTTATTATTTATATACATATGGTATTTAGAAATGTTGGTAGGGATTTAATAGAATCATGCAACTTGACGCACAAGATTTTATTCCACGGGTCGCATAAAGTGAAGTGGTGGGCGGAATCTGGCTCCGCGGGGTGGAGTGACACTTGTGATGTCATGTGTGGATGATGTGCATAGCAGCCATCACATGATCCGCGTAATTTAACGAGCGTCGCGGGTGTCCAGGAGAAATCCCGCACAGGCACGGGTAGAACATACGCACCACCCAGGAAGGCTGGGCCTGGACACGAACACTGCACCTCTGCACTGTGAGGCAGACGTGCGAACCAGTCGTTCACTGCCCTATCGTAAGCATTTTACATATTTGTAAAAAAAATATATTTTTTTTCATTAATAACGGCCAGGAATGACCCACATGACGAATATAGACGACTTTTATGAAGGTGAACGAAACCGAAGTTGTTCGACGTAAAAAGTGGCTGCAGTTGCAAGACTTTTACTGTGAAGTGATCGTGTAAAGTCATGATGCGACACAGGAACATCCGCATTCGGACTGCTAACAACTGCAGACAAGTGCTACGCTAATGTTTGCTAACTAATCCAGATCGGTAAGTGGGTTTCGTTTAAAACGTGTCTTCAGAACGAGTCACGGTTGTATAGAAGTTAGGTGCTGGGGAAACGACTAACAAACAATATTGGCTACGTGTCCATCCCTGTCGAGTCATTTTCGGCCTTGTCAAGTCACTCAGCAGCTGGCTAACAAATTAGCTGCTAGCAATGGCTAGCTTTGATATGGGTGGTCTTTTTTTAACGACGGGTTGTCTTGCACGTTGCTATAGTAAAACATGTATTTTTCTAGAACTATGTGTTTCGTCTCACTTGTAAAAAATAACTACATGAAAACGTAGTTTAGATTTTAACGTCGGCTAGGATTGTGTAAGAAATTGGTTGAGACTAAACGCACAGTCGCACACAAACAATAAGTCAAAACGGGATCTAGACCTTATTACAAAAGGGTGATAACATTTTTAGACTCACCAATTTCCAAGTGTTGCAATTTCACACATTGCCCGCCGATTAAAAGCGATTTTTCTCCGTTTTCTCGTTAGTAAACACAAGGCCTCAAGACCGAACACCGACCAGGCCTGACCGTAGACTGCAAAAGAGGTGATGTGAACACCAGCAGTTTAAATTGCCCTTTTTCTAGCTCACCGTGTTTAAAACTCAATTTTTTTTATGGCCACAAAATATACATGTATCTGTTCATTGGTACCCAAGATTAGCTACGTGCTGTGGAGATGGCTACGTGACTTTCAATCAATGTCAACATATGATGCAGGTTTTTACTAGGAACCATGCACCAAAATACAGTTTTTATGTTTTTATGGCAACCCGTTCCGTTTTTTTTAAACAAACACATATACCTGCGTGTAAAATATGTCATGAATGTTGAGGACAAAGATGAGTATTGAATTGAAGCCCCCCCCCCCCCACACACACACAATAAGCACCTTTGCGATTTGAAAATTACATTCTAAGATATTACGATGTCGATTTTAATTCAATTTTCGTTGTTGTTGTAGTTCAGTCCCAATTCTTACAACTTTAAGTCTAACATATCCAAGTTGTTTCATCATGTCTCTTGACTGACTGGACTGTTAAGTATGTTTGGCTATACACATTATAGTTCCTGTTTGATTGAATCAAAGGA